TGTAGTAGTTCACTTTACTAAATAGCAGTAGGCAAATGGTTCGAAATAATAACAGTATATAGATTAACTTTTTATTAATAAAACACATGGTGACAACCTTGCTTGTAGGAATTACCCTAGAGGGGGAATATCACTAAAAGGTCATTATGTCTGGATTGAAGTGTAGAAACTTAGAATTGGCAGAAAAAGTGAAAAGGTACCCTTTATATATCTTTTTACCTAGTGGGGGTAGTGGAGGTTTGAGTGACATCTCTTGATACTATACTTGGAGTAGTGGGGATTGTGCAGAGGCAAGTGAAGTTTGTATAGAGATAGTTGGGACAATATTTATATGTATTTGTTATTTGTACTTAAAACATTTAGAGCATGTATCAAGGTACTTGAGTCTGTGCAGAAACAGTTGGAGATTGTATAGAAACACTTGGGATTGTGCAGAGATACCTGGGGATTGTGTTGGGATACTTGGGATTATGCAGGGATACTTGGGAATTGTAGAAAGGATACTTGGGATTCTTGTACTGTGTTATTTGGCATAGTAAATTGTACTAGGATATATGAAACTTGTGTAGAGGTACTTGGGGTTTGTAAAACAATAATGATATCATAGATGTTACCCAATGTCATGTGTCTGTATTACACTTCTAACAGCCAATTAAGGTTCTATTATCTAACTACTATATACTATAATATAACTATACTAATAACTAATAATAAATATAATATAAAATACAAGAATGAATATATAACAACTACTAATAATATAATATATTATGTTATACTAAAATCTACTTTGTAACAATAGTATTGTCAAAGATCTGTATTATTTTTCTATTTAGGTTTTCTTAAGTAGGCTCTAACTTCTTAGTTCTACAGATTTACATAACTACAAAAACTTATTTTGAGTTTGCATTACCTATTTTCAATTTGTATTTTTTTTTGTATAAGTAGTTACACAGATGCTTTATAATCTGCTAGTTATACTAATATGGTTGTAGTTACAGTTATTTTATTCTAACTGATTAACAGAATATTGTTATTATAATGCTGTTTATATATTATATAAATTATTATATAAATTTTTGTTATTAGTAGGTTTTGAACTTACAATCTACTACTTAAAAGATTAACAACTTATTCATTTTATTAAGTTGCTACACTTTATATTTTAAATTTTTTAAAACAGATATTTAAAAATAACCTTTTTTATTATTATTTTAATAAATAAGTTAAATTATAAACTATTATATAATAATTATTAAATTGTCTCAGAGATAAATATAGTTTTTTTAAATAAAGATGATGATTATAGTGTAGTGGTTAGGTTGTTATCTCCCAAATAACAGGTCTAGTATTCAAATTCTACCTATAATGAAATTTGAAAAATTATACTTATGTTATAACAAATTGTATTTTGATAATCAGTTAGATTGGTATATCTGTAATCTTAAGTCACATCATTTTAAATAGAAGCTTAAGACATCTATGCAAAGTGTAATATTATATATACATGGAGGAATATATAATCAATGTCATATAAGGCTTCAGTACAAACCTATAATAAGATCACTGGGTACAGTAAACTAAGAAACTAAAGAGTTAAAAACTTATTTGAAAATTTTTAAATAAAGAAATAATATGACCTTTCAACAATATAATCAGACTAATAAAAGCCTATAAAACACTTCCAAAAAAATAGGTAGATAAATCAAATAATAAGATATGTAGAGGAGCATATGACCAATCAGACTACCAGAATTACTAAAAAAAAAGAATATATAAGTATACCATACTAGGCCATCTAAATTGGAAGTTAGAAAAGTCCTGTTAGTTCTAAATAGCAGTTAGTAAAAGATGATAAAAAAGATATCATAATAATAGATACTGAGGTTTTAGTAAATTTTATAAAGATAGAAATAGTATAATATAGTAATTAAATAGGTAATCTTTATAATTGCAAGTATTAGACAATTATAGTAAGTTATATAAAACTAGATTAGTTGTATATAAGACATGAAAGGTTCTAGTAAATTTCCTATTGTGAATAAACTAGTTCTAAGAGGCCTTAAAGACATTAGATACTTTGAATAGGTGTAGTCTTGAAGATATTACTATAAGACATAATGGACTACATATACATAAGATTTAAATAAGTAAAATTTGTAGTTGGCTTACAGGTATGACACTTAGTATAGAATCTGTATAGTAATATATAGACAAAATATTTAAATTAGATACCAAAACTGCATGTGTAACTAGTTGTAACCTCTAATGTAATGGAACCTCTGGAGGCATCTATATTCAAATATATGAATAAAAACATTGATTCCTATAGGCAAAGACTTTAATAGTAAAAAAAAAAAAAAAGATATAGTTTTTTAATAATGTCTAACAAAAACTATATTTTTTTTTTAAATATTATATATACTTGTGATTTTTTGTTGTAATATAAAATTAAGAAGATTTTATTCTCTAATATTATTAATAAAATTTTGAATTATAAATATTTACTTTAATATTAAAAAAAAATAAATAAAAATAAACTTTTATTTTTTTAGTTTTATAGATTTATATAATTATAAGAATTTTTTTTAAATTTATATCACCTAATACTAATTTATATTTTTTAGATAACTAAAATTATATAAATATTTTATAACTTACTAGTTATGCTAATATAATCATAATTACAAATATTTTATAACTTATAATTATAATTATAAATATTTTATTTTAACTAATTAATAAAAACAATTGTTATAATATAAATGATTTTTCAAATTTTTATCTCTAATAAGTTTTAAACTTACAACCTACTACTTAAAAAAGTATCAGCTTATTTATTACATTACAGTCTGGAAATATACCAAATTAGGAAATCACATTCTAGAATGATCTACGAATAGATTCTTGATTTTGATTGGCTCTCACATGTCTTTTATCTCCTTTACCTTTCAAACATCATGCATTTTTGAAAAAAAATTTTTTTGATAGTTATTAAAGCCTAATAAACTTTGACTATGTAGTTCAAGACATCTAGTTTCAATCATCTCAAAGAATCTTTCATGGTAAACACTTTTGGTTAAAATAAATGAGATGTTAAAAAGAAGTATTTATTTTATATAGAAATTTAGGAATCATTATTAGTTAATTTAAAATCACTTTAAAGTTTTATATTTATGTTTAAATGAAGATCTAAGAACTTATTTATACTACAACTTTCATATTTTAATTTAACTATTATATAGGTATCAATATAGTTCATAAAAAAGAATGCTTAAGATAGTGAAAGTAGATTTAGATTGCAAATTGATTTATAAGTAGCGTTGTTGAATAATATTGTCTATACAGGTGGCATTGTTTAATGGTACAAACTAAATATTGTAATATAGAATTGGTAAAGGCAGTAATGATTAATCGGAATAAAATCATTATTTAAAATGTTTAATAAAAAGTAAAGCTTCACTTATAGTTAAGTTATTCGTTCGTATATAGAACTTTTGATTAATTTAATTGGTTCATGTTCATGTGCCATGAAATCTAGAATCATCCGACTGATGATCATTTACCAAATAAGGTGAGATCGTCGATAACCAAATTTGGTATATTCCCAGACTGCATTAAGCCATTATATTTTTAAATTTAAAGTTAAGAAAACTTTATTTAAAAAAATTTTTTTATTGATTTCTTTTTATATATTTCAAAATTTCTTAAAGTTTATTTATTTTAAATTAATGTTTAAAATTAAAAATAAAAAATATATATAAAAATTTGCTCAAAAATTTTTTTTGCTAATGTATATAAAAAGGTTTTCTATATGTTTTTTAAAAAATAAGTTGTTTTATCTTCAAACTAATGTTTGTTTTGAAATTTCTTGATTATATTACATTATACTAAATTGTAACTTACTATTATAAGAAATATATCTTTTGCAAAAAATGCTTAAAAGTATTCTTTTCTTTAAAAACACATCCGAATAGTAAATATACTTAAAAATTTTTTCAAGTTTGTAAAATTTAAGTTTGTATAATCTAAACGAAATAAAATAATTTTTTTATAATTATATGATTGAATCTTTAATTTTGTTTATTAAATATTGGCTTTTATAGAAATATTTTAATATAGTAAATAATTTTTAAAAATAAAACAGGCTATATTTTTTATAAACAAAAATTTTAAACCTAACTCTATTAATAAACTTTGGCGTATTTGTATATATTTATATTATTGATTTTTACATTAAACGATCTAATTAGTAGACAGCAGATTGGTAATTGTCATTGCAAGTAGTGTTTAAATCTGAAAGATTTTTCCAGTAAAGAAAAATTTTAAATCAGATAACATTTATGGTCTGTTCAAAAGCATCACCTGATTTAAATCAATCTTTACGGTTTAGGTACGTACGTACGTACATAGCAATTCAGCACTTTTTAAGACCGAAATATTTCACCAATGTGAATAATTTTACCTGAGCGAAAAATTTCGGATTCATTTATTGGCATAACATAAAAATTAAGTGATACACATTAGAAATAAAATTAGAACAGATAGTCAATTTACTATATTATATATTTGATTTCTTTTATATCATTATTGCTAAAACTAATTTGTCTAAAACTAATTGTAAGACTAAAATTATTCGGACTTAAACTTCCAAGGATGTTTTATCAATTGCGGTATATAAATTTATAGCATTTCCAAAACGAAATTATTCTTTAAAATCAGATGTATTTTTAGAACAAAGCAATTTTTGGCAAACTAAAAATAAGTGTACGTACCACATAAGTAACCAACTTTGTACATTCATTGATACTTGCGATACTTTAAGGATGTTATAAAGAGATTACAATTCTTTATTATATTCTATTATATATCATAGTCATTTGATAATCATCTGATGCCTGATTTATAAGTATTTATATAAAGAGATCCAAAGTTCAAAGCAAAGAAACTTTCCGCTTTACATAAAAAATAAATAATTTAATAAAAAAACAATTCAAACAATGATGAAAAATCATATATCATCGCCTATAAATTTGAATATGCATCTTTATAAACGACAACAAAACACAACTTCAACAAATAATACCACTTTCATCATAATGATGATAGTCGTCGCAGCAATACTTGGATTAATTTTAATTTTTATAATTCTTTATCGACAAAGAAGAAACCGAAGTCGTATTTCAGACCCAAGACTGAAGCCTTTGCAACTTGTTCAAAACGAACCTTTATTGAGACAAGGAAAAGACGGTAATAATAAAAGCGATAAGTTTAAAAAGGATAACCGTCATAGTCATCCGGCTACCAAGTCTACAGCCGCAACGGAAGTTAGAAAATATGAAGTGAGATTAAGTATGCCAGCGGAATTGGCCAAACCTATGAAAGAATATTATCAATTTGAACCAAAAGTGTAATTATTCCTTTTTCACATATAACTATTCTCTAGTTCACATAGAACTATTCTTCTAGTCCACATAGAACTATTCTTCTAGTCCACATAGAACTATTCATCTAGTTCACACAGAACTATTATTCTAGTTCACATAGGAATATTCTTCTAGTCCACACAGGACTATTCTTCTAGTTCACACAGAGCTATTCTTCTAGAATTTGTATTATAATTTGTAGTGAGAGATAAAATTAATTTTATATAATTAATTGTATATATAAGTATAAATATAATTTGAAATAAATGAAATATTGATATATTTAGGAGGTTCACCTTAGCGGGTTATTTATAAAAATAGTATCTAATTATCATATGTAAAGTACGTACGTACAGTACATGTATGTACGGTTCATCCTGTCAAACCAGCTAATTCATTTGAAAGTAACAATCATTCTTAATTTGTTCAAATGAAAAAAATAGAAGAAATTTTAAAATATTTTGTTTATATCAAAGACATTTGAAATTGTTAATAATAGTTCTGTAGTTGCAATCAACAAATAAAGAATAACGTAACCGTTGAAGTAAGCTGTTTAGAAGGAAAATAAACAAATTAGTACATAATTATATTTGAACACAAAAAATTTTTTTTTATTCTTGATTACTACTGTACTTGAGGGTCACTCATTGTCCGGAACGGAGTGTAGGACTTTACTGTCCAGACCTGTGACGGGTGTCCCTGCAATAATATTCGGAAGTTTTACTGTGATACCCTGTAAGAAAACATACGATATACTATATACTTGACAAGAAAAACACCCCACTTTCGATTTTATAAGAGAAATAAAATGACGAAAATTAGTAAAACTACGATACACAATATATATATATTATAATAATGTACTTTGGGAACTTATTTGAGTGAATGAATAAAAAACTTCTTATATAATATACTGTAAAATTAATATATTTTTTAAGTATATAGGCTCCGGACCTCAACGGTTCCCATTTCCTAGTTTAGCTTTAGGGTTAGCTAGAATTATATGTCGGTGAATAATTTTCAGGAAAATGTCTTGTCTAAAAAAAGGATTTTCGAAAATATGTAATGTCAAATATATGTCATATCGAAAAAATGTGCTGTAGATGAAATATCATGTCGGTATTACGGTGTCGGGGAGGGTAAATAACTTTCGAGGAATCGTGTCGTAACCGTTTTATGTATCGGTATTATGAATAGCAGTGATGTATGGTTTAGTAAATTAGTGGAGTATCTGAGATGCCGTGAACAAAGTCACGAGGCATCCATTTGTCACGGGATCACAGATCACACACGATACAATCGACAATTGCCAGTTATGGTAAGTATGTGAAAGAAGAATTAGTAAAGTAATATTGACATAAATATGAAGTAATGGGAGAAATGTATGTGTATGTAAGTATTATGTCAGGCAATAATAGTTATTTAGAGTGGGTAGTAATACGTATTAGACCCTCCTCTTTTGTCTTTGCTGCTAGCTCGACGAAAGTCTAGCTTTGTAGTAACTTCCCACCCACCAACCACTAGAGGTTTAGTAGTCATAATGAGTTATGATAGCTCGACCAAGCAGGTCGGATATCATTTATAAATTTGATAGCCCGACTGAACAAGTCGGATATCAAGCGGGCAGGTTAACTATTGATTAAAGGAAAATCAATATAAGTAATTAGTAAAAGAAATTAAAGCGATTCTATAGAAAGGTTGTCGTTAGCCACGTGAGCAGCAGGAAATCCCGTATTGTGTATTTCATGTTGTATACTAGAATATGTAGGATCAAATGACAAATACAAAAATCGCATTTGGGTATATAAGATTAGCATACTACACTCATAATATACTGTATATTATGTATATATAAAATAATATAATCGTAAAGAATTTAATTATTTATTTATTTATGAGACGAGTTTAGAAGTAGTTTAAGATCATGACTTTTACAAAATTGAGATTTTTGAGATCGCTTTAACGTTTGCGAAAAGGGTATTACAGGAAAAATGTATTGTATAAACCTGTTTGTAAGTAATGTATGTTGTCGTTTGTATAGATGTAGGCTAAGAACATTTACGGATGTATGTATGATTAGAGAAACTTATAAAGGTTACCTTTTCTCTTTTTAATAATTAGGATTAATTACTCTTTTTTCATGTTAGAGTTAGTAATAGGCTATAGGTAAAATCTTAAAGATTTTTTTTTTTTTTTTACAAACTATACATACTATCTTAATCTCTACTATACATTACGTGTTTAGGACGCAGTCACATGAAATTTTAACCTTTGGAAAAATTTGAATCCAAAAAATTTTTATCAATCTTTTATTTTTTCGGAATATTATTTTTTTTAGAAGGAAAAGCTTTCTTAATTGTTTTTAAGAGACGAAACTACTAATACTAGACAGAATACCGAAAACACAGTTTTATATAATTACGATTTCGCGATAATGTAAAATTTTGAGAAACTGAAAAAACTAAATACATCATTGGAAGATCATTATCAACTATGATCTGGAAGAACCTATGTAACATTTGTTCAGAACTTCGGCATTTATTTAAACCGATTTAAAAAAAAAAAAAGATTTAATATTTTTGTAAATCTTGTCATTCAAAAAATGATTATTTTATTGCTTTTTTTTTAAATTACAAGTTTTGACAGCAAATATACTCATACCTAATCAAGTTTTCAAACAACTCAATTAATTAACTCTCTGTCAATCAATTAATTATTCAGTAAAGAGAAACTTGACTAATAAATAATAATCTCGAACAGATTTAAAATGAACTTTAAACATGAATTAACTTGTTCAAATGATATTGAATTATCAAGTATACAAAATCTACACTCAATAATATAAATTTTAAAAATTTCAAAGTTCGTTATAGTAAGTAATTGGATTTATAAACGAATCTGCCTTCATTCCAGCATTCATGAACAGAATTAACACATATAAATAATTAAAATGAAGCTACAAAAGGTTGTAAAGTTCTTACGAGTTAAATAACGAAAAGAACCAGTTTGCCCAAATACAGCTCGCTTTTGTTATAGTGAATTCTTGATATAAAAAAGAATTTGGAGTTAAAGTACATTTAGTATTTTTAAGCCTAGTATTGTCTCACTATAAGTTGTAGTAGGAACTTTATTATAACGTGATGCGTTGTAATCATTTGTTTATCGTGTTTTCTTGTATTTCTATATATGAGCCTTCTTTATTTTTTTGTCGACATATGAATAACCAATGAATGTATACAGATAGCTTTCGTATAATGAACTGACAGCTCTTATAATAAAATTTTTTAAAAACTTCTTTATAGAAGTAGCTTAATACTTTCCGATATCAAACTCTAATCAATATTTTTTAAAAAAGTTCATTATCGTTATACTGTCTTTAGATAGAGTGCATTCATTATTCATTGCTGTCAATTATCATGTGACTTAGTCCTCGATTAGTGGTAACGCTAGATTTGCTGACTAGATTTATGTTTTTCTCTAATATCATGTTTGCATAAATTTTATATACATTTAAATACTATGAAAAATATCATATCTTACTTTATACTCAGTTGTAACCTCATCTACTAACTATACTCACGTGTTTACTAATTTAACGTATTATACTTCACTACTTTACGTATACTGTATGTATAGCATTACTTGATGAATTTTCGAATTTATTGTCCGGAGCGTAGCGAAGGACATTAAATGATCAGCAAAGTGATACAAAAGCTACCTTTTTGATACATAATATGATGATACGTTTTTGATGTAATTATTTGTTTAATTAATAATATCGCATCAAAAAAGTAATTTGAAAAATTTCTGTCTGTCCATTGCATATCACGGGACCACTTTATTTGCGAAAAACTACCCCAGGATCGCCAACAAAATTTTGCAGTCACATGATGATCGACGACAAATTATCCAATTGCTAATCACGATTTGGTGTAACGTAACACGATCAGGAAAGTTCAAAACAAACGTTCGTTTTGTCAAAAATCGCTTATTTCTTAAAAACCTGCATAAGAAATCACCGTCTACGCATTAACAAAAAGTTTTCCTTGAGCGATTTTGCTATTAGGATTCCTTAAAATATAGACCCTACCCTAACTTAAAGAATTTTTGTCGACATCACATGACTGCAAAATTTTGTTGGCGATCCTGGGTAAGATATTTGCGAAATGATCACTTTATTTGTACTTAAATGCAAAACAAAAACCAGATTGATTTTATTTGTCCGAAGCGTAGTAAAGGATTATATTATTCTGTAAAAAGTGATATGCAAGGTTTGTTTGTCTGGTCACATAATGTAAAAATCGTCTAATCAAATAGTAACACATTTTTAATACTCACTCCAGACATACAATGCTATGCATTTACCTATTAGTAGTTCTAAGATTGAATTTGAATATTGGAACATTTTTTACTTTTCTGAAACTTGCCGATGGTTATTTAGATTAGATCAGTGTTAGGCTGATCAGACTAATTCGATCATTTGCCCAATGACCAGTTCATTTGTGTCGTTTGTACGTCCATAGTTTGTAAATAGTCAGATTTTTATTTGTCCATATTCAAATAGATGTCCGCCGTATCTCAGTTCTTTTATTAGATAATAATTAGATTGTTGTCATTTCAAGCGTGGTATTAGTTAAAGTTTTTGTACTATTGGTGATTTTTCTAGTAAGTTGTATCCATTAAACCGTCTAGCGTGCAAATTTGAACGCTAAAATGTTTTTTTAAGCCTTGCCTCCCTGTTTTCTAAATTAAATTAAAAGCATACCACAAGTTGATTATTAATTAATTCTTATTTCATGAAATTTCTTTAATGAAATTCTAAAAATTTTTGGTTTTTAATGTTAGTTGTAATACAGTAATAAGATTTTGATGTTCAAATTTAATACTAAAAAAAGGATTCTGCACATGACACTTATAAAAAATTCTATAATATAACATTAAAGTTGATCAAGAATTCTTCATAACCAACTTTATATAATTAATTTTTTAAAAAGATAAGATGACTCAAAAGTATAATAAAGTAGTATACTTTTTAGTCATTGTGTGATTGATGTTATAACTACGGAGTATACGTAATACGTATATAATTTGAGTTTTTATAAGACTAAGCATTTATTATAGATCACCGTGTGTGTCACACAAAAAATCGCACTAATTAGTTTTTATAGGGGACGCGTTTACAATTGATACCAATACTTAAAAACGCGTCCGTAAAGCCCCTAAAAGTCACGTGAAATATATAAATTGTTTCGGTGAAAAAATTGATCCACTGGGATTTTTTTCTCTGAAACACTGGAAAAATATGGACGTTCAGTGGGGCTCCAGTATAGATTGGGATGAAGGTTGGGATGATAGTATCGATCAGATAGAGTTTAATGGAAACACCAATATTTTTCGGAGATTAGAAGTTTTTCAAGTACAAACGAGTGAATATTGCTTGAATGGTTTAAGAAGAACTGAAAAAGTGATGTCCTTTATTTAATACTTTATTATGTTTCGACAATCTGGAAATTAATATCATAAATAGGCTAATATGAGATTAATCATAAAGGTAGCTACTTTGTTCAATGAAACAGGTGAAACGTATTATTTACATTTACGTGATGATTGGTTAGAAACACCTATTTATGATGGTATGTTCTTCAGATTCCTTATTTCTAATAAACCAAATAATATCTTTAAGTGTATGGTTCCATTTATGTATTTTGAACAGGAAATGTTGTCAATATCTTTGGAAATTTTGACAATGAAAACAGGTGTATTGCCGATAATTCACAAAGCCTCGTAGTTGTGAACCCTGGTGTACTTATATCTGCAACTTCTGTAGCTGATTCCTTTATATGTATGAGAAAAAACATCTTAAGTGAACGATTTAATGGAAATTTTTACTTTAATTCATCGACGGCATACGGAAGTTTATTTCATGAGTTGATTCAATCGTGCCTTATCCAAAATAATTTTACCAGTCAATTTATGGAATCTGAGATATTAAAGATAGTGAAAGTATCTATCGAAAGGCTTTATTCTGCGGATTTGAATGAAAATGATGTGATTGGTGAACTCATGGATGCTATTCCAACGATCTGTGCGTGGGCAGATAAATTCATTGGTGAAATACCAAATCAAATAGAAGAGCATCTTTCTACCAACAAATCAAAGCTTTCCATATCCATTTGTAACGTTTTGGGCGTTGAAGAGCATATTTGTTCTACAAAATATGGCCTTAAAGGAAAAATTGATGCTTCTATCGAGGCTAAGGTATCACAGAATGGTGTATTAAAAAGAGTGATAATGCCCCTTGAATTGAAAACATCCAGGAATATATCACCATCTCATTATGCGCAGACAATCTTCTATTGTCTTCTTATGAGCGATAATTATGATATTGATGTAGAATCTGGACTACTGTATTATTTAAAAATACAAAGTGATGAAACTGGGAAAATGTTAAATGTACCTGCTGTTCCTCACGAATTACGAAGTCTAATTATTCAACGGAATCAAATGGCGTGGTATACCTTGGACGATCAACGATCAATATTACCACCAATGATTAAGAATGAATTCCAATGTAAAAACTGTAGCTATAATGCTTCATGCTTTCTATATCATAAGGCTATCGAAAATGGCACCAGCGAAACTAGTGGCGTAGTTCAAATATTCAATAATAAAGTTGCACATTTAAAAGACCATCATCTTGATTTTTTTCGCAAGTGGGATGAACTTATTACGTTGGAAGAAAAAGATATGTATCGGTTTCAGCCAGAAATTTGGAATATGCTTGCCTCCAACTGTGATGATGGTCAATGTCTTAATAATATGTGGTTGGACCCAGAAACCATCGAAGCTATCCCAAATGGTGAAGGATATCGTCAATTTAGATGTAAATTCATACGCAAAACGGGAAAAGCAAATTTTGTTTTAGATACTCAATTTTGCATAGGTGACCATGTTATTGTATCATCTGAATTAGATCATCGTACAGTCGCTAGTGGCTTTGTCGAGGATATTGCGTCAGATTTTGTTTGGCTTACTTTGGATAGAATACCTCGTGGTGGACCAAAATGTAATATCGATTTTGATATTGAATCATGTCATAGTTTATTATGTGCATCGGAAGATACAGCACACTATAATTTAAGATCTAATATTACGGGTACATTTTATCGGATTGACAAAGACGAGTTGACTTCTAGCATGAAACTTATTAGACAGAACCTTGTAAGCCTTCTTGTAGATGAAGAAACCGCAAAACTTAGAAGACTGATCGTGGATCTCGAACCACCTTGCTTTAATAAATTTACCGACACAATGCCTAGCATTGTCGATACGAAAAGTCTGAATGATGATCAAATTAAGGCTATTAAATTGGCTTTAGATGGTTGGTCATTCGTTGGATAAACATGTACAGTCAACTCTCTCTATATCGGACCTTTGGACTTATTAAGAACAAGTTCAGTTTAAATGTGAACTTAGTATTTAAACTGAGTGTCATCATTAAAGTTCGGTTTATCTAGGTCCGGTTCAGGGAATTTGACTGAATTACTGTAATCTTCGGCAAATAGTATATACTTGCTAAAATATTTACAAATTTTGTATCCTGAGATTATCTCACAAATAAGGTGTTGCAAAACTATTTGGAACGACCAAACCATGCGACAATTAGTATCACGCTAGGTATTCATGACCTTATACTTGTCAAAATCATATAAAACTAGTTGTCATATTGTTTGTGTCGTCCCAAATAGCTTAGGCCGTATTCACCTTAAGAATATAAGAAGCTCAGGATACTATTTGCCTAAAATTACAATGTATACGTAAATAATATTCTAATATTTTACAATTTCTTGTAGCTCAAGATTATGCTATTCTTTTAGGGATGCCTGGAACTGGTAAATCAACCACGATAGTGCAAATCATAAAAGCACTTGTAAGCAATGGAAAATCGATTTTACTGGCTGCTTATACGCATTCGGCCGTAGACAATATTCTTTTCAAATTGCTTAATGAGGAAATTGACATGCTGAGACTTGGTTCCAAAGCAAAAGTTCGTTCAGAAATAGTGCCTTATTTGTTAAACATTAACCAATACGACAATGTTGACATGTTTAGAACATTTATTGAATCAAAACAAGTGATTGCTACTACATGTCTTGGTATAACACAGTGCGTTTTTTTTTTTTATTATTATTACTTTTTCTTGTCGGTTATGTCGAAACGAACATGTTCTTATTTACATCTTTATACCAAAGCTATATATTTTCAAAGCGTAGATTTGATTACTGCATTATAGATGAGGCAACGCAAGTGACACTTCCTATATGTGTGGGACCGCTTCGTTTTGCAGATCGATTTCTTCTGGTTGGTGATGATTTTCAATTGCCACCATTGGTACGGAATCATGAAGCAATTGAAAAGGGAATGGGGAAAAGTCTATTTACAAATTTGACTGGAAAGCATCCACGAGCAGTCACAAGGCTTCGATATCAATATCGTATGCATGAAGATATAATGAATTTGTCTAATTGTCTGATATACGATTACAAAATGCTTTGTGGGTTACCAACAGGACCGGAGAGTTTTTTGAAAATCCCAGGATGGAATAATAATTTTTTGTCACAGTTTCATAAAGAAAATGATAATCGTTGTAAAGAGGAATGTTGGCTTCAGACCGTTCTTGATCCATGGAAGCCAGTTGTAATGGTCGATACTGATAATCTTGAGGCTAGAGAATCCAGAGGACTGAATCAAAATAATGTGGAAGCATCACTTATTGAGCAATGTGTTAAAGCTATGCTAATAGGTGGCGTACCTCAGACTGACATTGGAATTATTACACCTTTTCGGCATCAGATTAAACTTTTATCACAGAAATTTAAAGATTTTTCTAAAGTTGAAATTAGTACAGTTGATAGATTTCAGGGAAGAGAAAAAAAAGTCATCGTCGTATCTCTGGTGAAAGCGAACGTTGATTATAGGGTAATGATCAAAAGTGAATGCCTTTATGTATCGTTTAACTCATATATATATATATTGTAAGGTCGGCGATATTTTAAAAGACTATCGCAGGTTAAACGTAGCAATCACTCGTGCCCAATCCAAATTAATTATTTTCGGTAGCAAGTCAACGGTCTCTACATCGGAAATAATGCGTAAGATTATAGAGCATATACAAAATGCAAATTCAGTAAGTGTTATATATACACATGTTGATGCTATATATAAATTTAATAATAATAAATTTTTTTTATATCAAATTTTAGTTATGTAAACTTAAGGATAAGAACACTCAGAACTGGCATATTATTCCGAAGTAGACTGGGACTCTTGCGGTAATGAATCACGATTTCGGTTTTCAACCCGGTCCTAGTTTAGATTAGGGGTTTGAATTTGATAGACTAATCATAATTTGATAGACTAATTATAATTTGATAGACTAATTATAATTTGATAGACTAATCATTAAAATAAAATATAATGTTTTTCAAATTGTTGAAGTATATGGCATTTAATATTTCAAATCAAATTTTTATATTATTTAGAACCTTTTTAGTATGTTTATTTTCTAATTAGAGACGTGTTTGGTTTGTTAATTATTGTTGTTTAATTAGTTTATGTTTTTTTTTTTTTTTTTTTGCTTTTGCTAAGGCCGTTGATTATTGGTGGTTACTGCCTTTATTGTGTTTTAATTATAGTTACATAACCTGTACAAGGTGAGTATGCAACTAACCACATATACAGCTTTTGGTTATTGATTTAAGTAGTTTACTTGCAGATTTTATACTAGCTGTTATATTTGTAATCTGCTAGGAGATTAATTAAACATTCTAATTCCTATACATTTAATAAAAAGCATACAAGTTCTCATATATTTAAGTGTTGTTTGATCTAATTTTAATCTTTCTTTTTTATGTTTATCAAGTTGTTATATATTTTAGAGTATATTATTTGACTGTAAGGTTTTGGAATTTTTTTGTTAACTAATTTACTTACTTTTTATAGAACATTAACAAGGTTTGTTTTTGTAAAATTCATTTAGACCTTAGTATTAATTTTACAATATATCTTTAGTATTTATAGTATATTTTTGCTTTAACATTAGATTTTTAATCTAGATAGTTAAGTAGAATTGTAACTTGTTCTTGGTATATTAAGATTCTAATATTTAATATCTTCTTTTTTTTAGTTTGAGACTTTCATTAGTCTAATTGTTAATATTTCTTACTTGAAGTTTTTATTTATTCAATTTTTTTATATTAATATTTGTTTCTTAGATTTAGCTTTTATAATAGTATTGTTAAAAATTTATATTATTTTTTTATTTAGGTCTTTTCAAGTGAGTTTTGATTTTTTTTAATTTTACAAAGTTATATAATAACAAAGATTTATTTTAAATTTGCATTACCTGGTAACAGTTTGTATTATAATTCTTGATCTGCTAGTTATATTGATACAATCATAGTTACAAGTATTTTATTTCAACTAATTAATAAAATATTGTTGCTATAATACAAATATATTTTTCTAAATTTTATCTTCAGTAAGTTTTGAACTTATAATCTGATACTTAGAAGTTAATAACTTATCTACTTCAATAAGTTATCACATTTCTTAGTTTATATCTTATTTTTAGTTTTTTAGAATTAATGAAAAATTTTTAAATTTATTAATTTTTATAATTAAAATTCAAAACTTTATATATATAAAAATTAGTTTGGTATTTGATTTATTATATATATTAAAAACTAAAAATTAAAAAGAAGAGATTAAAATAAAGTATAAAATAGAACTAAAAGATAAATTAAAGATAAAAAAATAAAATATTAATCTTGAAATATAGTAAAAAATCAAATTTTATATAATATATTTGTTAATTAAAATGAAGTAAAAATTTAATAACAAGTATTATACTATTTGTTTAGATAATAAGTTTAAGTTCAATCTTCTAAATGGTAGGTTGAGTGTTCAAATCCCATTGATGGTGAAAATTTGGATAATCATCTATATAATATTTGTATTACGGCAACTATTACTAACAATTGGATTAGAATATCTGTAATGGCAGTCGCATCAGCATGACTAGTAGGTCATGGGGTATTTGTGTAATAGGTCACATGACATTGTCCTTTGGGACAAGATTGTGGTTACATGAAGAAATACAAACTGGCAATTAGACAGTGCAAACACTAGATAAGTCCTTGTGGCTATGTAAATTCGTTAAAATTGAGTAACAAGAAGTCTATTTAGGAAGACCCGAGTAGAGAGGTAGTTAGATCTTTGATAGCCCTACTGTAAAGACTAGCCTTATAAAACAGATACCAAGGTCGAAGTAGCTGAACAGACAAAAACCTCTAGGTAAAGTACTACCAACCAGGCTGCCAGATTGAGCTGAAGAAAAAGGATATCAGACTAACCTGATATACTAATAAACTGGTCATAAGTCCTACTAGGCTATCTGAATTGGAAGTTTGATGAACTGGCAGAGGTATACTAAAGTATTTTGGATATGCTGTGAAGTAGATGCTAAGGTTTGTGTAAACTCTACAAGAGCATAGCAGTTTAATAGTCAGTCCTAACCACAAGTATTGGTTCTGCTATAGCAATATCTAGGTTAGCTATAAAAATAGTAACAGAAGGCTCTGAGAAGTTTATCTTAAGGATAAATTAGTCCTAAGGTTGAGACAATAATCTGAGCATCTGAGATAACCCAGTGATGTTAACACAGGTTACAGGTTTAGAGGGTTTAAAGTAGAACACTCAAACAGGTGTGTTAGG